GAGAGAGAGAGAGAGAGAGAGAGAGAGAGAGAGAGAGAGAGAGAGAGAGAGAGAGAGAGAGAGAGAGTGTAGGAACTGGGCCACTCGCTGATGCATGGCTATTCTCCCTCCCTCTAAAAAAAAGCTGCATGACGTGGATTTTTATCAATTGTTTCCACTTTCTGCATGAGGTGGACTTTTATCGATTGTTTCCTCTTTCTTCCTCTATTTCATTGCTCTCTCTCTCTGTTTGTGTTTCTCTCTTTGTATCTCTTTGTCTCCTACTACCTTTCCCCCTCTTCCTCGCTTCTCGCAATCTTCATTCTTCTCGCCGCGGGCGGAGCCGCGGCGGGTCCACTTGTTTTAAGTTATTTAATTATATACTGAGTGAGGACGCCGCCCGGGCGGGCCTGCCCTGCCGGGCTGGGCCCAGGCAGTTGGGCCCCGGGAGGCCGCCCGGGTAAACCGAGCAGGACAAAAAACCGGGCAGAATTTTTTTTATTTTTTTTTTTGAAACCGGAGTCGTTCTGCGCTCAGCGAGAGGACCCCGAATCTGCAATAAAATTTTGGTTTCGGTGGGGGGATGGGGGGGTTGGTCTCGGTGGGGGTGCTGGGGTTGGGGAGGTGTCTGTGATGGGGCCCAGATGCGTTTTTTTCTTCTTCTTTTTTTGTAAGGGGTGTGTGTATACAAGAGAGAGAGAGAGAGAGAGAGAGAGAGAGAGAGAGAGAGAGAGAGAGAGAGAGAGAGAGAGAGAGAGAGAGAGAGGATCCCCTTAACACGGCTCAGACAGCCCATGCAGGCTATCTGAAGCGTCCTTGCAAACATGTAGCGCAGACCCCCCCACCAAAATCAATGCAGGCAGTGACTATGAAATAGAGCACGAGATGGCCGAATATATACTCAAGATTTGAATTCAGGTCTGTGTTTCAGCAGTTATGAGTTGCTCACATAGCTAGGGCATGTTGGTCTCTGCACGTGACTCTTAGGGCTTGGCTGCACTACTCACGAAATGTGCAAAATTAGAATGAATCTTCTGCAGAACGTGGAATAATACGCCACCATATGTTTTGTCTTTTGTGCATTTGGTGAGTAAAGGGCCTTAGGGCCACTGCACGTATTCCTAAGAAAAGAAAAACGAGAAAAGAAAAGAAAAGCGAGAAAACAGAGAAATGGTGACCCATAACCGACATGCACAGACCTGAATTCGAATCCAGACTATATATTCTCTGCCCACCCTCAGTTTGAAGTGTATCTCTGCATGACGTCGGGCCCTAGCTAATATGCTGTAGGGATCCTTCCGAAAAGAGGCTGGACACAACTAGGACATTTTTGTTTTTCTATTTTTTTAATGCGCAGCATCACTTGTGCGTGCGTGCATGTGCTTGGGGCACCCCCGCATGAGATGCGCTGCAAGTATGATTTGAACGCATCTCTCTCTCTCTCTCTCTCTCTCTCTCTCTCTCTCTCTCATACACACACACACACACACACAAAGGGGGTCCGAAAGGGGGTCCGAAATCCCCCGTCAGGTGAGTGCGCTGGGGGCCTCGGCCCCCAACCGGGTGTCCTGCCTGGCCAGGCCGCCCGGGACCTCCCCTGGGCCCCTGCCGGTCACCCGGGCGGCCCGGATCCCCACTCAGATTATATAATTATTAATTATACAATGTGGAACACTGCAAAGGCAACAGAGACGGTTTACACCTTTTAGTCAAGCATCCCAGCCAAAAGCGACACGAGTTAATATTATGGATCACATTCTTTCTTTGCAATATTTCAGTTTTTTTTTTACTTTTTTGGGCGCTCGTTAGAAAAATGCTGCAAAAGGACGGAGGCAATTTCGTGGGTTTTTAAAGCGGGAACAGTAACTGTTCTGTGGGAAACTGCAAAGGCAACAGAGACATAACTGGGTTCACCACCCATGAGAACCGACCATTTCATCAGGATGATCAGGACGATCAGCAAGTACCCAGCCCATGTGGCTGAACGGTATATCACATCTAACTGTTGATGAGCAGGTTCTGAGTTTGAATCCCTAATAAACCCCGAACGAAAGAGAGCACGTTCATCAGGATGATCACCATAGCACCCAGCCCATGCTGCTTAGCGGTATACCGCACGCAACCGTCCCTGAACAGATCCTCCTGAGTTCGAGACATGACGGAATTCCAACTATCCAATGGATTCAAATATTTTCGGGACTTTGCCCTTGACAAAAAGAAAAAGGAAAAAGAAAAACAGTTGGGAAAAGAAAAAAGAAAACTTCAGGACAACAAAAAGACCTTACGACAGAACAATACACAACCTGCTGTTAAAATACCATAGACAACTAAAGACGCAATCGCAACTATGTAACGTACATGTACATTTAAATCTGACAGTACATACACCCTACCTTCAGCTTTGCATACTCCTGCTTTGCATCCGCGTAATCTTTTTCCAATTTCAAGACAGCTCTGTGACCCCTCGCCAGCCCTCCATTGTTCAGCGTCCAATAAATAAAGCCTATTATTGGCCTAATCAGCCAATGACCGAACTCCTTCCCATTGCATTGCACTCCTCTAACCAGTGCTCTTGCTTCCGCCAAACTATTCCTGCATAGTCACAGATGATAAACATTAGTGTTGTTCATCAGTATCCCACAATTAACAAGGACAAATCGACAGCGACAGCAACGATGGGTGGGCTCCTTTTATTGCTCTTCTCCTTTTCCTTTCTGAGATCAATTCTTCCACCGATCAGTACACGATACCAAATGCGCCTAGAATACCACACGCCCTTAGAAGAAAGAAACGAAGAACAAAGAAAAACGAAAAAGACAAAAAAAACAGAGAAGAAAGGAGGAACACAGCGCCCTACACTGATCCAGAGAAGTGATTGCCTGGTACAAAACCACCACACCACGGCCTCCTGAAAATTCAAGCCTGCACCTGGTGACGGAAAAAGGAAACCTGTAGCCGTCATACAGTCAATCGACAAAGGGCAACCATCCCTGTAACTCGGACGGTTGCACAAAGAGGTCATGGCAGTCTAAGCCACCGATACTTCCTAGCATCTCTTTGACCATGCTGATGTCCTCCTCCCACCGTGTCTTTGCCAAGCCTGAAGGAGGACGGTACCAGTTGCATGAAAATAAGAGCACCAGTCAGTACCGACCTAGTTTGGTTTCGGATTTTGCTATGCCTCCGTTCATTCTACCAGACATACCAATCCACTTTTATGACAGGTTTATTCCTTTGTTGTGCTGCACTCTCTTTCGTCCAGATTAGGAACACATGCAAATCCGTAACGGAGAGGGGGGTGCGAGGCCAATGCCTCTATGAGCCCCCTTATGGCCCCATCCTGAAGCAAGTCGGCCGCCCTAAGTGAAGGCAGGCTTGACGAGGCCCTCAGGGC